TACTGAGAATTTCTTTTCCTGGGCATTTAGGCAGCATTTATTGAATGAGAATGTACTTGAGAGACACAGAATATAAATTCAGTCAATGTCCCAGCTTACAGCTAGTGCCTGGTGTTTAGAGATGCTGAGAACTTAGACTGTTTTATTGGCTACAGGTCTAGTAGAAGCATTCTGACAACTAGGCGTGGAAATTTCACATGTGGTTTAGATCAAGACCAACCATGCCAAAAAAATGTTTGAGGGAAGTGTTTAGTCATTTTTAAATGCAGTGTTCAAACACAGTTCTGGGAGCCATGGAAATAAGGCTACATCCAGCAGGTCTTTCTAGCCAGGTTAATTTTTATTAAAGAGCAAGAATATTTGTTTTTCACTCAGGAAAGAGAATTTTGGTCTTTTCTCACTGTATACACATTTTCTCAAAAAGTGTAGAGACTTGATAGCTCTGAGACTGAGTTACAGGCTGAGTTATGGTAAATCAGCAATGTTACTGGAGTGGAGAGGGGGAGGAAAGCACTGAATGTCCAGGGACACTCTGCCTCTTTAAGTGCCTGAAAAAGACACAGAGAATCTGCAGGAGCCCAAGAGTGTGGGAGGAGAAGGGATTCTGAGTTGAGCAGTGACACAGACATTCCCACTGCTGGTAGGTGCCAGGACAGGACAAGGACTGAAAGGACGCTGCCTGTGACCCACTTGGGTGGGAAGAATTCAAGGGAGCAAAAAAATCTCCAAGTAGGGGTACTGTTGTTTAAGGTAAATGAATAGTAAATGCATTGAGCTATTAATACAGCCCAAGAGCCATTGAAACACTTAGCAAAGCAGATGATATAGACAATTACTTCCTTAATTGAAGGTTTGCTGAGTGCTCCTCTAACTCATTGTATATAAATTGTTACTCTTCAGGTGCAGACCAAGCCTCAGTGACAGCCCGCAGCCACATTCAGCTCGTGAAGTCACAGGTGGAAGAAGTGCGACTGCTGTCCCAGAAAGCAGAGACCAAGTTAGCTGAAACTCAAACTGAAGAGCTCATAAAAGCTCAAGGAGAGGAATCTTCATTGCCACAGAGTATTTTAGAAACTACAGAGGCCGGTGAGGACCCTTACCTTCGGGAGGACTGAAAAGAACTTCAGTGTCACCATAGAGTACATGAGAGTCGGTCACAGATGGAAGGGTCCCAGACTTTCCAGTGTGGGATAGTGGGGAACTGCTGAAACAACCCCACGATTCCATTTTTTCCCCCAAACAGGATTGCTTTACAAATCAAGTCAGTTCCAAGTATCTGAAAGGCCTTGATCTTGTTTGTAACTTACAATGTTTGTAATATTTATGGATTCAATTATTTAAATGTTTAACTATGCAAATGTTAAAACTGCTATCAAGGATAGCTTGTTGTTAATTGTCTCTCTGCTGGGAGGGTCCTACTGCTCCTTTGATATGTTTGTGAAGCTCTTGTAACTTAGAGGCTAACTAGGTACCAGCCAAAGAATTGTATTTAAAAGTCATTATTTTTAAGCTGTGAAGTACATGATGTCTGTTAGAAGTTACTTTTATCAAACTGTGCAAAAGTGTCTGGTGGGGAGTGTGGCTGTTTGGCTCAGAGATTAAGCACTGGTTTCTGTTTGAACTGAAAAAGTTTGTAACAGAGCTGAGTCTGACAGCTGCATCAAATCACACTAAATTGCAATCAGGGGAAACAGTTGCTGTAGAGATGAAAACCTCCTTTGGAGTTACCCAGACTTTTCTCAGGGAAGTTTTGCAGTTCAGTGCAGCAACCTCTGTCACCCAAGAGTCACTGCTTGTAGTACATCTGCCTTCCCCAGGAAGCAAAGGGACATGTGATTTTCAAGATACTGTGGTTATAAACAAAGTTTTTGTGGCAACTGCAGCGTAATTCTTTACAAAGCAGTAAGCAAAACCAAGGTTTACATATTTGAATGCTTTCCAGCACAAGTTTCAGGAAAATAATCTTGATTCTCTCTTTTTGCAAGTTTAATGTTTCACTGCAGGCTTCAAAACCAAACCACAGGTGTCTTTCACTGTGTTCATTTTCTTACTTACCAGCCTAATGTGAAATTTGCAATGTTAACTGCACAGCCAATGTAAACTTAAGACGATCCTGATTGCTTTGTAGCATAGGATCCAAGAGAACTTTATCACTCATTATTTGAGTCAGTTAATCCCCATTCATCAGGTTTTGTAAAAAAACACACATTAATCATAGGTTTTTCACCACAAATTAGCATCTGATGCACTATATGTGTGTCGAGGTTGCTGTTACCAAACCAAGATGTGCTTGAGTAGGAACTTTTTCAGCTGTAGCAGAAGCCTTTCCATCTGTGTCTCGTTCTGCCTGCCTTTTGAACAAATGCAATCTCAGCTGCACAGCACTGTACACTTATAGATTAAATAGTAAAGAATTAACAAATGACCTTTCCTTGCTCCTGCTCCTCACTGGGTGCTGCTGTATCCAAGGAGGATAGCACAGTCTGGAATTCAAGCTCACAGGAAGATGCCAGCATCTGCCGTGCCAGTCGTCAGGCGGGCCCAAACACAGCTCTGGGCTGAGTATTAGGGGAAAAAAAAGGCAACAAAACCCACTGTCAGGAGAGGATTATTTGCTGCAGTGGTACAACCACGCCCTTAAGAGCCAAATGTAACTTCAGGTCAACCTCTAACCACACACAACTGCTCCAATTTGTTACATGCTACAGTTTAAGAAGTTCTGCCAAGCCACTGACCCAAATGCACCTACAGGTTGTGTTCCTTTCAGGATGCCACGAGAACTCTACTCAGATGCTTGCATGGCAGAGATAACAGCTTCAGAGAGATGAGAACTGCTATGGGAGTCTGCAAAGAGCCCATTGTTCCCCTTTCAGAGCCTGCTCCCAGCCCCCTTGTTGCCCCAAATCTTGTTGCCCTGCTCTTCCCAAGACACAGGCTGTACCCACACACATGAACCTTCAGACATGACAGGAACCAACTGGTCAGTTCAGTCAAGTCAAAATGGGAGCGAGGAGCACGAGTGGCTCCATATTGCCTCCAAAACAGGGTGGAAAAAGAGTCCCACACCTTTATTAGGAAGCAAGAGTTGCCTATTGGGGACTAGTCCATACACCTAAGCCCACAACAGACATGACATCACACTCTGCATTATGTTACTGAGTTTGCATTTGGAATCATCGAGCGGATCAGAAAAATGCTGCCACAGCAGTTCCCAGGGTACTGCCCGCTCTGTCCGGTCTCTTCTCTGGAACAAGCAGCAGTGCCCTACAGCTACCAGAGCTAATTAATAATCCCTGTTAGGGCTGCAGTGAGAAGATGCAGTAGCAGTTTGTACAACAGCACATAGAGGATGGACACACAGACACAAGCTCACCCTTGGAAGAGCAATTTTTCAGAAAAACTTCAGACTTCTTCGCATCTGGCACAGAAATTCATGTGACAGTGGCAACGCTAGCACCTGGGTCACAGCGTGGGGCTGAGCTAGAACTACACCGGGTGCTTTAGAAAGCCAAGGCAGGAAGGGATCAAACAAGGACCAGCAGCTCTGCCAGGAGCCCCTCAGCCTGAGATGGTACAGTGCTGCACCACCACGCTGGACGGCAGAGCAGCCACCCTGCCCTGAGAAGTTGTCACATCTCTGGTCTCGGGACGCCCTTGGTCTCTGTAATACAACCCAGAACTTGCTGGAAACACTTCCCAGGCACCTCCTGGAAGCTCCAGCTCACATCTGGTGGGCAGTGAAGGCTGGGCAGCTGGCACCAGACAGCAGTGACAACAGCACAACACAAATTGCTCCGATTTCTGTAATCACACACTTCCTCTCTACCCTCTAAAGCTTCCAGGCTACTTCCTGCTCACACACAGCACAGCAGCTTCTGATCTATCAGGAAGCACCCTGAAGCTGATAAGGTTTGTAGAAGTATCACCAAATCTTAGTTTCATATTTGGTCTTTCCTCAAATTAGCGACTCCAGGACACTCATAGATTAATTGCCGCTGCATTAATACATCCTGTCTGGACGGGGGCAGAGAACAGCAGCTGCTCACAGCAAAGGAAGTGGCAAGTTTCCATTGCTAGGTAACATTATCCTCTTTAATATCAATGACTCCTTAACACGAATGCCCAGCACCTGATCTCAGCCTTCTCTGGCTTTTAGTTCTCCTAGCTTTCAGGAGACCCAAGAATACTCCTGTGAAAACACTTTTCAAAACTGTATTTTATTTATACCCAACATTACAGCAACAACAACAAAAAATCCAAACACCTCCCACACAACATGAAAAAGCTACAGCCACCGTAACTACCACCACCACGATTCTTCAAGACATAGTGCTCCTCTCAAACCCAATTAGAAAGTGTTTGTGCAAAAGCTTCCAGTGCAAATAAACCTGTAATAAACTTTTGTAAACTCCAAAGGGCTTGGATCGGAGCCCAGTCCCATGGATCATCGTGCTGTGTTAAGGCAATAAATTTTTGAGGCTTTCTTTTTTTTTTCCTCCCACTCCACTCCCTGTCTCCTGCTGTTTGGTAGGACCTGTGGGATCGCTGGCCTGGGACACTGGAGGTGCACTGCAGTGGACCCCGCAGCACACACTGCCCTTTTTTTCCACCCTTTCAAGTAATTTCAAGTGCTCTGACACCCACTAGTCATCATTAGCTTTCCTACACGAGACTCAATTTGGCCGGTGGTCAGACACCAGCCTCAGTGTTGCAGAGCCCCAACTCATGTCCCTGTGGCAGTTGTGACTTCCCCTGCTCCAGTCTAGCTGGGAGGAACCGAGTTGAGTTCCCTGTGCTGCATCTCACTGACCTACCAGCCCCATCCCCACCCCAAGACAATTCAACTTCTTCAGTAACCCACCGATAAAAAAAGACTTGCTGCAAAACAAACCCCTATGGCTCAAGTACAGCCTGTTAGTAGAGGACACGTTTCTACCACAACCTGATTTTTAGTTGAAGGACCCTGTTATCTGTCACCGGTCGAAATCCCACTGTGCTCCTCAGTAGCTTCTCTTCCAAGCCCTTCTGTAGTTGTGCGTTACCGATACTGCACACCTCAGGCTGTCATCCTTCACCAGCGTCCACATGATCCACATCTCAGTCGGGTTTAGTTTGTGCACAATCATCAGCTCTTTGTACAAGCACGGATCAAAAGGATTAAAAGGTCTCTGGATCCCAAAAGTCTTAAAGCCAGCATGGTTCTTTGGGGCCACTGCCATCTTTGCCAGACACATTCCCACAAAGACATCATCTATTGGGAAGAGCTCCATGTCCTCTGCGGTGCTCTGGAGACGGCGCACTGTCTCTCTAGACATCACATAGCCCCCTCCACCCGCATAAAGAGGATAGAAGGGGGCTCTGTACATGGACTCTGGAATAAAGTATTTGACTTTGGTGTTCCTGATGGGCCGGGCGTTGGTGATCACATCCCCAACAAAGAGATCCTTATCCGGGTCCAGTTCTTGGAGGAACTCAACAATGTTATAAGTGTTGACAAAGACATCATCATCACCCTTCAGCACAAACCTGGCGTGCAGGCAGTCCTCCATGAACCAGCGGAGGAAATGCAGCTCCTTGAGGGTCAAGTTGAAGAAGTTGTCAACAAAATCCCACTGCACGATGTCATCAAACTCCTGGCTCTCATAAGCCAGCAGCTGGTGCAGGGGCTGCACCTGGATTTTGGCCTCTGAGCGCCCTAGAAGGAACACCAGCCTGATGCGTTTGCCACCAATGGAGACCTCCTTCCCCCACGTGTTCCTAATTGCCACCCGCCGGTCTACGTTGATTGGGGAAGACTTGATCGCCAGCAAGAGGAACGTCTCTTTGCTACACCTGGAAGGTTTCAGCAAGACCGAGAAGTTCCGGCAATGCTTGTACGTTAAAAACACACGGTGAAGCTCCGGGAGGGCAAGAGAAGAATTGGCAAGAGTCAAGTCTGGCAAACACTTGCTGGATTCAGCGTTGTCCAGAACCAAAGACTTGGGTTTGTGATGAGCTACATCCACCTTCTGGGCTGCTGATGATGCTGCCAACTTTGCCTCTTTCTTCACGTAAAGAACCCAGGCCAGCAGCGTGATGGAACAGGCGTAGAGCGCCAGGTTCCTGATCCTGGGACACATGGCAGCCTCTGGCGCAGAGCCCTGTGCGGGCAGAGGAGAGAAGTTACCGCACCGGCCCCGCACACCTACACCTCCCGCAGTCACGGAGCCCACAGCCCAGCCCCGGCAGCTCCCGGGACGGGGCTCGGCGTTTCCCCCCCAACGTGGTTCCTCGGGTCCCACCCAGACCAGGTGCTGCCGGTGAGGACGGGCGCAGCGGCCGCTCGCCC